TGACCAGCTTGTGCAAACGCTTCGCCCAGGCGGCTTGGTAGATCACCGCAGTCGTTGAAGACACACCGCCGTGACCCGACTGCTGATGAACTGCCAATGCAAATTCCCCAATGATACTCTGAGGAAGCACTAATTGCTTCCTAGGTCCATCATCAACATCTTTCTCAGAAGGAGGACGGAGGCGGAAGACCAATCCAGCATCATCTGCATAGTATCCGTACTCCAGTCCTGGGGCTTCCACATAAGTTATGTGACATAACCGTCGTCATCGGCTTGGTCAAGAATGCTTTGACAGAAGGCATCCTCGGACTGGCGTAGGATCATCCACTGAGCAGAGGGCGCATCCTCGTCACCGACCGTGTCTCTACCGCCCCACCCTCGGAAAGCCTTTCTCAACATGAGCCAAGACCTATAACTCGGCAGAGCTAAGGCTCCGCTACTGCCATCGTGTAGCCACGAATGAACCACCGCATAATGACAGTCTACAACCTGGACTTCTTCGTCAGCCGAGGCAGACCAAAGTGGGACCTCCAAGAACTTCTTGGTGACAGCGGTGCGTGAAAGTGCGTCGGCAATCTTGTTCATCGATCCCTCGACGTGACCAGTAGTGACCTCGACCGGCGGTTTGCGAACAGCCATGCCATGAACAGCGTCACAGATCACACCGCGTAATCTCAGAATGGCCTTGCGCTCAACGCTCTTGCACCAAGGCACAGTCCACACATCTGACTGACGAACGGCGACCACGCTGTCGGATAGCAACTTTAAGGACCGAATGGCAGGGAAGAAGATCAGACAGTCCTCTAACCTCTGTAGGCACCACGCGATTGCATAAAGCTCTCGCCTGTTTACATGCCACGATGCAATGAACATACTCCGAGACTGTATACGAGCCGCACAAGCGAGAACCTGACCCGTAGAGTTATCTTTCCAGACGTAACCGAAACCAACTCCGGATGCATCAATCTCAGCTCGGAAATCAGTGACCTTCGAAAATAGAGGTAGACAACGATCTTCGTTCTCCCTCGCATGCTCCCAATACCTGCAGGCAAGGGATAGGTGCAGCCAAGCCTCAGCAGTCCAGTCGCCACCGGTCTTGTCCCAGCAGTCGGATCTCGAAGCCAGAACTCTCGCGCAATCGGCATGACTGCGGGCCAGTGCCTCGGAAACTCCGCACGATATGCCGATGAACTGCCCTCCATGCTTAAAGACCAACCGTTTCGACAGATTTTCGGCACTATTCCGATCGGAGAACTGCTTCTTGAAGGTAACCTCGGGTCGAGTCAGAGACAATTCGCCATTCGCAGAGTCCCAGAACCAGTAGCCTCCTAGCCATCGGACTGGGACAGTGGTGCCCCAACGAGCTCGTTTGTCGACCGGACAGCAGAATCCTGTTTTCTGCCAGCAACAGAGGAGAAGGCGCTCGAAGCGTTGTATGGCCACCTCTGTTCCAGTGAGCAAAAAGTCATCCATCACCACTACCACTTTCGGAGCAGGATTAACACTATCCTGACCGTACAAGGCGTCGTAGGCGGCCTCCACAACCATGAGGTCTATTCTTTGGGTAGAATTAAGCATCAAGGGGCCACAACTTAACCCGAAGGCAAGCCTGCGAGTCTGGTAGACGACGCCCCCTACGCTCAACTCTAGAGGAACACGCTCCCCGAGGCGGTCAGTAATGGCGACTTCCACCGAATAGAAGGCCTTCGAGAGATCGTATTGGGCAACCATATACCCGGATCTAAGATTGGCTCGCAAGTTCATGACGGCGTCGCTGGTAGTCAGCTGGGCGTTGGAAATCCTTGGCGACACCTCGTTGATCCCTCTCAAATCACACACTGGCCTTATCGCCGTGGTCTTCGCTGGGTCCTGCTTCACAGGGAAAATGACCCCCGTAAGGGGGCTTCCCGTCGGGCTACTTCTGAACCGAATATCATCAAGCCCCTTCTCTTTCCAGTAGCCTTTGCTGACATAGTAGTCGCAGTTCTTGAGGAACTCCTCGCGTTCCTTCTCCCCTAGCTTGTGAATGAGACCAGCGCTGTTCCAAACTCCCTCCTTTGTTTCTGGTTCCTTCACTTGCCAGCTTGCAACGAAGCGGTATTCCTGGCCGTCCTCTGCGGGCTCCGGGTCATCGGTCTCGAGTCTCTGGAGCCGAAGTGTGTATCCCGCAGCGACAGGAAGCTCAGCGATCCGCGAGACTTCACCGAGTAGTGACGACACCAGCCGCTCTGCGTCCTCCTCCTTAACGACCTCGGTACTCAGAGCGCGATTCAGAGCAGGCCGCACCTTCCGATCAACCACATCCTTCACGTAGTGCTGGTCTGGAACCGGTTCGTCCATGGTCGGGAGGTCGGCCACGTAGAGCTCTCCGTTTGTGTTGTAGCACTCGATGGCCGTCTCGATGTCGACTTGCCCACAGTCTGCTTGATCACCCGCCGCATGCACCGTGCCGCAGGCTTCTTCGAAAGCGTCTCGAAGCGAGCTCCTCTCGTTTTCGTCATCTTGCCGGAATTTGAGCTCCAATCCGAGCAACCTCAGACCACGCCTACCCACTATAATCGGCCGACCGAGCCTTCCCACGACCAAACAAGGGAAATAGCATGTGCTGCCGTTCACAACTGCCCGAAGGATCACCTCCCCTTTTGCGGTCTCCTCTCTGGAATCGGCGTATTTGACGACAACACGCATTCGCGACCGGACCCACGCCGCATGACCGAGCTGGCATAAAGAATCAGCAGTAGACTGATCGACTAGTGAGGTTGCGGAGCCCGTGTCGATCAGACCCTCTCTGTAGAGCTCTCCGAACTTAAGCTGTAGGATCGGAGGATTATCCGACTCCGCTATGGCCCAGGATCGCCTTGGAGACGCCTCTTGGCAGCCTTCTGCCCATGAACATTCAATGGCATAAGCTGAAGTGTGCACTTCACAGTCGTCGGCCTCCTGTTTTCCTCCGTCCTGAGCTGCCTCGACCGCGGCTGCCTCTTGAGGTTTCGCGACAGCCGGAACGGCCGAATCCGTCTCCTCTTTTCGCGAATCTGGCCTGGTGGATCCCTTGCCCTTTTCAGGACACTCAGCTACTCTGTGACCAAACTTCTGGCAACCGAAACACTTCCCTCTGAAAGGAGACCGCCGCCCCCGGCGAGAGCCGCCTCCTTTCGACACCGCTGACCCTCCTGCAGGCTGGTCCACGGTTTGGCCAGCGAATGCCTCCACGCTCTCACTCTCGTTGATTGTGAGCTTCTCCATGGAGATGAGCCAAGCTTCCCACTCTCCAATTGGAGCACTCTCTAGACCATCACTATCCTTCAACAGTTGAGGATCGACAGGTAAATAACTGAGCCTTCTCATGAGGGGGTCTCTTATACCCGATCTCGCCGCTGCGATCCACTCGGAATCCTTCCGAACGAGACTCGCATAGTGCGATCTCGACCGATGGTCACTAATCCTGCCGAGATAGGCCAGAAGCTTCTCGCTAGGACGCTGTGTTAGCGTCAACGACTCAGCCTGCAATTGCTCAACCTCCTTATCCCGGCCAAATCGTCGGTCGAGACTGGCCCAAAGGAATTTCACCGCTTGCCCATAACAGGCACGGCTCAAGGGGTTTGGCAAAAGATTGGGTCGGACTCCACATATCTGCAACCAAAGCTTGGTCTCGATGTTATGCGAGAGCCAGTAGAATTCATGGACAATCGACCAACCGTTTATCATAGCTTGGTTTCTGTAGAAGACTCGGAATGAGCTCAATGTTTCCGCGGCACCCACTCGGATTGGAGCGCCTGGCGGCTGCTTTGCAGCCTTCACTGCCTTGCGGATTTTCTCCAAAGAGGCCTCGGTGAGGTTGTCGGAAATCGTCTTCTGAGCTGCTTTTCCAAAAGCCCAATCCTCCTTGACCGATGGCTTCAACCCACTCTCTCTGTGGTTTGGGTCGATCTTCGAAGTGAGAGGATCGAGACAATCCGAGCCGTGGGCAGAGATCGGCGCGGGCATGTCGACAGAAGCCCTCCCTGGGTGGCTCCAGCTCGGACCTTGGACCGAGCACTGTGACTGCTGCCTGTGTGTCGGACGGCCTTCTTGCACGTCTTGGTTCACATAATCGCTCAGCTCCACCTTCGACGGAGTAGACTGCATGGCTCCCCGTGCCTCAGTACCCGGGGTAGGCACTCGAACCTCAGCGTCCGAGGATCCACCATACGAAGCTCCTCTCCGTGAACGATATAGCGCGGCTTTTGCTGCAGCATAACGGCTCCAAAATGACTCGTCCAGACCAATCGCTACCACCGATAAAGGATCGCCCCACAGCTGCCTACGAAGGACGTTCCTCTGTAGACGTCCCTCTCTCGAAGACTCTCTTCGCTCCTCTAGCTCGACACAGATATACTTTTTTAGGGCCTCGATGTCACCGATGACCTCCAAATCGACCTCATCACGATGCTCCCAAGGAATGTCTAGGGCCAGCTCCTCTGTGGCTCTAGAAATCACCCTTTCCACGACAGATCGAAACCACTGGGGCGATGGGAAGGGCCGAACTCCCATGAGGGCAGTTACGAAGTAGTTGACCACGTCGTCCAGAGCCGAAATTGTCAGTCGGGGCTGTCCTAGGGCTGCCCCTATTGAGAGTCCCACCGAGATCGCCAGATGATGTAAATCTTCCGACTCTTCAATGTCAACGTCGACGTCTGTCTCCCCTCCCACACTAGCCAACTCAGATCGGTCGTCGATCGGTGACTGAGCGTCACTCATACAAAGATG